CCAGCCTCCTCCCTCAGACCCAGGGTCCAGGCCCAGCCTCTCCCTCAGACACAGGGGTCCAGGACCAGCCTCCTCCCTCAGACACAGGGGTCCAGGCCCAGCCTCCTCCCTCAGACATAGGGGTCCAGGCCCCAGCCTCCTCCTTCAGACTAGGGGTCCAGGCTCAGCCTCCTCCCTCAGACACAGGGTCCAGGCCCCAGCCTCCTCCTTCAGACTAGGGGTTCAGGCTCCAGCCCTCCCCTCTCAGTCCCAGGAGCCCAGACCCAGCCTCCTCCTTCAGACCCAGAGGCCCAGGGCCCACTATCCTCCCTCAGACATCCCTCATACCCAGGGCTCCAGTCCCAGCCTCCTCCCTCAGACCCCGAAGTCCAGGTCCCCTGGCCCTTACAGGCTCAGGTATGCAGGCTCCCATCCCTCTCCCACCCTGTGAACCTGTAAGTGGGAATCCTCAGTCTCTTTCCAAGTTGCARGCCTCCAGCCCCGTGGCACCTGGAGTCAGCCGGTCTGGCCAGCATTACTGCCTCGCCCCCACACAACCTCCTTGATAAGGTCCCTTCTCACCTTTAGAAGGTTGATCTGATCTCAGCTCTGGCCTCTGTTGGGARCCAAGTGTCGGCAGCCCTCTGCAGGGCTGTCCTCTTATACCACTCCCGCCCCGTGCCCGCCCCCAGCGCCCTGGGGTGCAGGCAGAGGCGGCTCCAGGACACCTTCTTCCTGTGTTCAGTTAGGGTTATCTGGAATCCCTGGGGCAGCCGAAGTAATTGATACCACCCTGCTTCYCCACCCTCCTGCCAGCAGCCAGGCTGGGCGGCACCCAGCTAGCTCACCCCTRCATATTCGGGCCCCACCACCCCTGCTGGTTGCTCACTGGGAGGGCCCAGGTGCAGGGCCTGAGGAGCAGGAGAGGAGCAGGATTCAAGAGAGGCAAGGCACAGCCGCTGGCTCTGTCCTGGGTCCTCCTCTGGGGCCATTCCCTTGCCCTCCCCGGCTCTCAGGTGGCCTGGGCCCTCCACCCTATGGCTGAGGAGCCTGTGGGAACCCGGAGGGGCCAGATCCCAGTCTTACCTTTGAGCCTGAGCTTGTTTCCAACTGAGGGTTTACTGTGAACCGCTGAGTCTGTGTTCTGTTTATTTCTATTCATGTCATAGGTAGGTTTCTCTCTATAGCCGGTATATGTAATAAAAAATGTCTATAGCAAATATTATCTAATGCAACCTTTTTTTAATATTTATTTTTTAGTTGTAGTTGGACACAGTACCTTTATTTCACTTATTTATTTTTATGTGGTGCTGAGGATGGAACCCAGGGTCTCGCATGAATGAGGTGAGCGCTCTACCACTGAGCTACAACCCCAGCCCCACCTTTTTTTTTTTTTTTTAACTTTACAAAATATTGTGAACAGTTGTCCCTGCTGGTCCCTTTAGATCCTTTCCCCTTTCTTTGTAATGTTGTATGATATTCCGTACTATGGCTTTAGTATTGTGGCTTATGTAATCTGCTTCACCTTGAAGTTCGCTTGCAGAGTTTTGAATGTAATCATGAGGAGTAAATTGGTTTCTTCACCTTTGCTAGCTGCATTCATCCTTCAAATGTCTACCGTGTGCCAGAAACTGCTCTGGGTCCTGAGGCCACGGCAAGACAGATTTCTGCCTTGATGGGGACTGCCTGCTTGGTTGAGTTGGAGACCCAAAAATAAACATATGGAAATAAATAAGCTCATGAAATACAGAGTTTGTTAAGTGGTGGAGAGCGCCATGGAGCGAGACTGACATGTGATGTAGTTCTAGCCAATGAGGAGTGAGGGGGAGACCCTGGCACTTCTGAGAAAGCAGGGAAGAGGGTGAAAGAATTATGGGTTCCCCCTGCCCTCCGGGATTCTGGGCTCTCATATTAGGAAAGATGTTTTGAAAGGCTCCTGGTGAAGGTGGCATGTGCACTTGAAGGAGGTGATGGAGGAATCCCTGTGGTTACTTGGGGGTGGAGAGTTCCGGGGAGAGTGAATGGGCAGGTGTGTTGGACAAGCAGCAGGCGCAGAAGGCCATGCAGCCGGAGCTGGGTGGGGAGAGGAGCTGACAACTAGGCAGAAATAGAACAGGACTCTGGTGGCGGGGACCTTGAAGGCCAGACTCAAACGGGAACCATTTTTCAGATCATTTCTTCAACATGATAGAATTGACCTCAATTTCTAGATCAGACTCGAAAAGTGATCCAGTCTTCAACCCTGGGCCCAGACCTGCTCTCAATTTGACCCTCCCCTCCACCTTTGACCTGTGTTCCAACTGTGACAGGTATTATGTCTACCCAGGTTTTTATTCCTTCTGCAAACTCTGATTTTCTTTGAGTAACCTTTTTTGGGGGTACTGGAGATGTGCCCCCCTTTTTATTTATTTATATTTTTGAGACAGGCTCTAAGTTGCATAGGGCCTCACTAAGTTGCTGAGGCTGGCTTTGAACTTGCAATCCTCCTGTCTCAGCCTCCCAAATCACTGGGATGACAGGCRTGAGCCACCAMACCTGGCTTTTTGGGTAATCTTTTATCCTCATCATGGCCATAATCCTGGAGGATCCAATTATGGAAACCACATGATGCTTGCTGCTGATTGGTTTAAAATTGACATGTGATATGGTCTTAGCCAATAAGGAGTGAGAAGACCCCCCCCAACTTTTATGAGAAAGATGTCCTGATTTTCACAAAGACAACACCGGGAGTTTCTTTATTTACCCATGGCGTCTCTTCTGAATGCAGATTCTGGAACTGCGTGAGCGGACCATGAGGAGAAGTGGGCAGAGGATTAAGCCAAAACACTGCCGGAGCCCACAGGTCATCGGCTGGGTCTTCCATGCCATCGCTGGGGTGGCAGTCCGCCAGCTGTGCAGCCCCATCGTCACATGGCTTTTCCAGGCTTCCTGGGGGGTCCAAGTCCTTTGGTCCTTGTAGTCAAGTTCATCCTTACTAACACCTCAGTGTTCCTGTAAATCCCAACTCAGATACCAGATCTTGAGCCAGAGCCATGACTCCAAATCCGGTGGCCATTTGAATCCCTATCTGGAAGCCACTGTAGTCACCAAACCCAACCCTTCCTCCAGCCTTCGTCCCCTGTCCACAGAGGCCCCGTCCTTCACGCACTTAACAACACGGAACAGGCAGAGCTGTGCCAGGCGGGGTCGGTGCTGAGTACTGTGGGGCAGGTCACTCCGAAAACACACCAAGTCCCCGTTTTGTCCAAATTGAAGAGTCTTTATTGTTGGACCAGCAGAGACTGCTTCCTACAGGACCAAGTTTTCTCTGCAGGAAGACAGACTAAGCCTCAACATTTTAGGATATTTAAAAGCAAAAACTGCAAAACCCACATTCAGGTTGACATAGCAACCAGCAAGCAAGCAAGCAGGCAGGAGTCCAGGAGCTGAATGACACCCTTAACCAAACAATGCAATGTCCTGAATCGTATTTTCACTCTATTTCAGTATTTCTCATGGGATTTTCCATAATCATAATCAAAAGAGAAATGGATCAAAGTGACCCTAGTCAAGTACAAGTTAAAGAATGGTTACTAACGTCTATCAATTATTCCCCAATAAGGTACACTGCCCAAGGAAAATGGGAACCAAAGAGAGGGATTTTACATCCTATAAGAATTGCTACTTTGTGTTGCCAAGTATGCTGTGCTGGGCAACTAGTCATGGGTACAGAGGCRGGGCTTTCCCACGGGAGAAGCATTTCTTACATGCTATGGAGTCTCAGGGTAAAAATGGAGTCTGTTTGGTCATTGCCCATATAGCCTGGCCCTTAACACTGAGGGCACCTGCACAGATTGGGATAGAGCCCTTTTCTTCAAGGAGCTGTGGGTCTCCTCCAAAAGAAAAACCTCAAATAATTCAGAATAAGCCAATGTAAAATATGGTATGCTCTGAAGGAAAAGGACGGGGTATCGTGGAAGCACATCGGGGAATTTTGACAATGAGCTCAGAGTTGAAAGAACAGCAAGCGTTGACTGGAAGTTTATGGGCGGAGCGAGGAGGACACACTGTGCAAAGAAAGTGACAGGTGCAGGGCCCTGTGCTGGCTGCGGTGTGGATGCAGCCCAGAGCCAGAGGCCGATGGGGGCAGGCCCCGAGGAGCCTTGCGTGTCGCAGTGAGTCCCACTTYATCCTGCAGACAATGAAGAATGACTTGGACTTTGGTGAGGAGAAGAGCATAACAAGACCTGTATTTTCAAAACGTCACCCTGGCTGCTGTATTTGGGGGATGAGAAGACCCTGGGAGACCATGAGGAAGTCATTGCTCTTGTCTAGGGAAGGGACGTTGGTGACTTGGACAAGGACATCGGGAGGTGGAGATGATGGTAAGTGCATGGATTCAAGTTATGCTTAGGAGAGAAAATCAACAAGTCCAAGCCAACAACAGATGTGTGCAGGGTGGAGGGTGTCAAGGCTGTGGCCTCTCGAGGGTGCTGATGGAGGAGGGGCATGG